TTTGACCTTTTGTCCGGCTCAAACGGCATTTCCTCCCACTGTGCGGCACCCCCGCTGCCCGCCGACCCCGCGTCCTGCTGTATGCATTGCTTTTTATGGTCACGCCTAGGGTGGGGGAAGCACCGCGGCCGTCCATTTACGGACGCTATTACACGGCACGGGTCTGTTTTCTATTGCTGAACTGGCTGCGCTAGTTCAGAGTTTATCCTTTTTACTCCACATTGGAAGGAAAAGGATGAACTCTGAACTATAGTGCAGTCCGCATACTATCGATACTATCGCCCGACCTCGCGTCGCATCGGCGCGAAGATTGTGCGGGAGTTTTTCTCTTCTGTCTGTAATTTTTTTAATTTTTTATACTGTATAATTGATATCTATAATGTAATACAGAAAATCCTTTTGAATGACACTTACTACAATTATAATTGATTCTGTGCGCTATTGAAAACTGTGCAATTTAAGACTCCGGATATGTAAAATTGGGCAGTTGGTTCCAAGGAATTATTTAAAAGAAACTTTTAAAAAGTAGGGTTGTCACAATTTTTTTTCGTGGCTATTCCAGATTCGATCCGTGCAATTCAAAAGTATACCGTGTTATTCGAGAGTTATTTGTTATATAATATGATATATAATAATATATAATACAAAACAGATTTATATATTTATAAAACCTACTGACGGTGTAACGAGCAAGGACGAGAACCGGTTCGCGAAGATCGACGCTCAAAAGGGAAAGGCCCTGACGCCTGTTGATTCGCGAAGGTGGGACTTTTTCTTTTGACAGACCGCCTGAGAGGAGGAACGTACGTGCTTTTTCTGCGAACGGTCGACGACGCCTGCGGCTGCGGCGTGTTCAGCACCGTGTCGTCCAAGCCGTAATCCTTGGGCTTCATCGGCGTGAACATCGCAGGCTCCTTTGTCCCCGATCGCAGAAAAAGCACGTACGTTCCTCCAGCGACCCTTCATTGTTCCGCAACTGCGCGAGTTTCCCGCGGACCGCGTGACGGGACCGATCAGCCGCGATCCCACTCCGGCCCTTTTAAACAATAACAGTCGATCGATTTTGCAGTTCAAATTTGAAAAGTCTCGGAGGTCACCGACGATTGGACACGGACTTGAAGGCCGCGACGTAGTTTATCATCCCGCCGACGCCTTCTGTCAACTCGCCATCTGCTGGCGAACGTCGTCGCGGGAATTCGGCGGTAAAACAGAAGGTTTGTTCTTCTTTTGAAGAACTTTCTGAACTGCACGCACTGGGTGCAGCTTAAAATGAGACAGATATATATTACAACTGTTGGAGAGAAAAGGAGAAAAGAGATGAAAGGTTACAAAAAGTTGTAACCTACAAAGAACAAAGCGTATAGGTTTGCTCCTTGTAGCTACGTTATGTTACACCTTCCGCGCTTGAAATGAGAGATAAATGTATAGTTATTAGATATTGAAGAAAGAGGGAAGATGTGAAAAAAGTGCAGAAGTGGGGGAGTACCGTGCATGTAAACATGTATCCTAACCTGCTCCAAGTTGCTTGGAGCAGTGACATGTGCTTCCTGATCAATATTGTTATTTTTCGTTTTTATCGCAACTGTTTAATTGGCTAACAGCCAAGCATTTAATTAGGATTAAATTAAACACGCTCGGTGTTTTATGCTTATATTACGCTTAGAGTGAAGTGTAAAAATACACGGGAGATAAGGAAGCTTAGACGAGTCCAGCAGCACAATTTATCTCGAGATAAGTGTCTTGTGAGACAGAGACGAAATTTTAACGAATTAAAAGTTGCGAATAATCTTAAGAAATTGACGCAATGTCTGACACAAACGCTACGGAAACGTTAGCGACCAGCGTCGCGGAGAACGAGAAAAATCCATATGCGTATCTCGAGAGAGATGATTTCACTTCTGAGAAGTACAAGATAGAGGTGCGCGGTTTGCCGAAGTATTACGGAATTGGTGAATTTAAGAAGCTCGTGAACGAAAAGCTGGACTTGCAATCGTGCAAGGTAAAGCCGCCCAGGAAAGGCAGCAGCTGGCTGTACGTATGCTTCAGAAACGAGGAGTGTCGTCAACGAGCGATAACCACTATAAATGGGATTTTGTGGAAGAACAGTAAACTCACGGCGCAGGTATTCTTCAGCCTTTCGTTAATGCTGCTTTCTCGGCAGACATTAAATGTATGTAGTTTTAATCCGTGCTTTCCCTTTAGGCAGCCAAGCCAGCTCCGGATCCCTTTGTGAAGAGAAAACTAGAGGAAGAGTCCAGCAACAAGCGTCTGAAAACTGACGCCGAGGATCCAAACTGCTCCCCCACTGATAGAATCAAATTTATTACTACCCCTTTGTGGAACATGCCGTATCCGGATCAAGTAAGGGATTTTATTACGTTCTCGTTGGAAAGTATCAAACCTTATGCTATATATTTTTAGCTGGAACTCAAGCAGAAGGAGATGAGATCTATCCTGATGAAAATTGGTCAGCAAATGCTCGTAGAAAGCAAAGGTCTGTCAGAGTGGATATATTCGCAAAAGAAATTGTACGATGGATTGCCGTGCAAACTGGAGAATATACTTTCGGCAGATGTTACTGAGGCGTATAGAAATAAATGCGAATTCACAGTTGGTGATTATTTCTAGATTTATACGAGGGTATAAAAAATTTTGCCAAGTTTAAATTTTTTTTTTTTTTTATGACGCAGGTAAAGACAGTGAACAGAGCAAAATTATGATTGGGTTTAGATTGTCAACTTATGCCTCGGGTTCTACAGCAGTCGGACCTATCGACGATCTTTGTCACATTCCGGAAAATATGAAAATTGCTGTAAAGGTTAATTTCAATTGTTGATTTTTTTTTTAGACGAGACCGATGGAGACGGACTTGGGATCTAAAATTTGCGCGTTTACATATTTCAGATACTAGAAACATTTATACGCGAGTCAAACTTGGAGCCTTTCAATCCGGTCGATCATAGTGGATACTGGAGACAAGTTACCGCTCGAACCACTCGTGCTAGCCATCTGATGTTGATAGTAGGAATACACCCTCAGGATCTAAGTAGCGACGAATTAGAGGAATTAAAATCACAGCTGAGAATATTTTTCGAAACCGGGAAAGGTGCCGACGCTCATGTCACTTCGTTGTATTTTCAAACAATAGATAAGAAGTAAGTATATTATGCGGAAGTAGCCATGTACATGTATTTTTTTTTATTTGCATAATTTAATTTTGCAGAAGTATAGGCGGTGAAAGTAGCGACTCCTTATATCATGTTAGCGGAACAGAATATATAGAAGAAACGCTACTCGGAATGAAGTTCCGAGTTTCGCCTCAAGCATTTTTCCAAGTCAATACATTGGGAGCGGAAGTTTTGTACAAGGCGGCGATTGATCTTGCCGAACCCACGATGGATACGGCGCTACTTGACGTGTGTTGCGGTACTGGAACCATAGGTCTCTGCTTTTCAAAGGTACGATCAATTATTATAAAATTTCCAAGGATGTACCATTGCAGATGTTAAACGTTCACTGTTGCAGCATTGCGGTGAGGTATTAGGAGTGGAAATTATTCCCGACGCTATAAAGGACGCCAAGGAAAACGCTATTAAGAACGATATTACCAATTGCGAGTTTTTTGTCGGAAAGGCGGAGGACATTTTGTTGCCAGTTATTCACAGGGCAACGAAATCCAATATCACTGCCATTGTGGATCCCCCACGAGCTGGTTTACGTAAGTTGTCATCACATATAAGTAACATTTACGATGTCGATATTATAAAGAAATGTTAACTTACCTGTATGTTAACTTATTCTAGATCAAAAGGCTTTATTGACACTGCGTAAGTCAAAAAAGTTGAATAGACTGGTGTACATATCCTGTGACCCTCGTGCTGCCATGAGAAATTTAATTGACTTAGCACGACCTAGTTCCAAGCAATATCTCGGTGATCCGTTGGTACCGGTAAAGGCCATTGCGGTTGACATGTTTCCTCATACTAAGCATTGCGAATTGATATTATGCCTTGAAAGGCTATCGAAGGCGATGAAATGAAACGAATGTACTATCCAAGAAAATACGGAATAAAGAACGTTCAAACGTATTTACATATTCTTCCGTCGTATGTATGTGTTAGCATAATATATACGTATATATTAGAGTTTTTTTGGACACGAATATAAAATTTGCTCTAAAGTCCCAAGAAGATAATCAAGAAAATGATAGAATTGTTGAACCAAACTAATGAAATCGATTTTTATATTCCTCATTTTTCTAAAGCGAGGGTCTTGTTTATCCTAAATTGGTACTGCCATTCATTACTTCCATAGATTTTATATAAAATATTACTATAAAATAAAATTACTTTGACTTATTTATAATCTGTTATAATTTTTTGGAGATAATAATTTATTTCGGAACACGATAAAGCGGATCACAGTAAAACTGCAGTTTATTCTAACTCAATCTTATAACAATATCAAGAATTTTTATAAAATATAATAGTTCCAATTTATTAATATATTTATACAAACTATATTAAAATAGTCTGACAGAATTATCACGCTTCTAGAGTCTTATCTCCTCGGGCTGGTTTCGTTAGTCTGCGTAGACTCACTCTTGGTGTTCACTTTCCTCGGCAGAACCGAACCTACCACCCTCACCTCTCTTACCTCCGCCTTCACCCTCAGGCCCTCCTCAAAAAGCTCCCTCACCTTCTCCAAACTCGATTCCTCTCCTTCTCAATCCTTATTATAACATTCCTCTTCCTCGTTTCCTCTTCGCTTCTCTCTTCCTCTTCCTCGACAACTGCCACAATATGTATTTGTTATTGCACATATATTCTTTAAATATTGTCAACATTCAATGCTAACAATTTCTCATAAATATAATATAACCATGTATTTCATAACAGAAAAAACGTTAAATTCTCTAATACAGAATTCGTTAAAATAAATGATTTATTTATAATTTTTTTTGTTTTATAATTAGACCATTGCTGGGCTTTGGTTCGTATCTAAAAATTCTACAATGTTTTCTAAGATTCTTTTTTGATTGGTGACACGAGGTTTATTATCTTTTTGTTTAGCCGACAACAATTGAATAATACCCTCTCTTCCACTTTTTTCATAAATATCTTGTAATTTTGCACGATTGATCCCTGCTTCTGCTATTTTTTTAATCATTCCGTTGGAGATAACATTTTTAAAAATGTTCAAAGATCGTTTCAGTTTTGCTGTCTTTTGCAGTCGAGTTTCATGGTCAAGTGATTCCTTGAACGATTTGTGGTTTCCAATCAAATTCTCTTTCGGAATAGTTGAAGCGATTTGTTCGAGTATTTCCACATCGTATGCTGCTTCGTGGAAATTTTCAGTCAGTTCTATTTGCAACAAATCTTGGGCTAAAGTAGACAGTTTAAACATCCCTTTACCTTTTCTCTGAGGATAGAGTTTTTTAAGAGGGACAAGAGTATCTGAAAATCCGACGATAAGGTTTTTGAAATCCTCTATCATTGAATTATTTATCAAAGCACGGAGTAAATAACCAGTGTCAAATGTTGCATTGTGCGCAACAAGAATACACGGTTTTGATATTACAGCTAGCCATTCTTTGAACTCACGTAGCACTTTCTGCAAAGGGCTCGACTGAACTCTTTCGTCATCCAAAAATAACTCTCCTGCCACAATTTTCAAGCCAGTGATTTCTGTCGCTTTAGGCATAATTGGCTGAGTAGGAGTCGCGTATGCGCAAAATTTGTATTCTTCGCATTTTGCAGCAATCTGCAGAATGTCTGCTGACTTATGGAATCCCGAAGTTTCCAAGTCGAAGAATACAAACTTTATATTGTCTGGTGAGAGATTAGTATTCTGGATATTCTCGCCACAATTAGATTGATATTGAATTCCTTCAGTCTGTTCAGATTCTTTTCTCGAAACCTGACCTTCTTGAGCCAGTATATTTTGACGAGTTTTTATGGAAGGCAACATTGCTTCTGTCATTTTTCTTGAATACTTCAATTCTTTATTTGTTATGAACGATGCAATATTGTATGGAAATTCCAGTGGGGAATCTCGGAATGGATGCCGATTTCACTCTGGACGGTTAGAAAAGATTTACATGCAGATAGTGACTTGGTAAAAATGTCAATGCCAAGGGAACGGGCTTGGAAAATTTAGCGGTGAAAGAAGACCCTGT